GAAGTTCTGCTCTAAACGAGAAAGAATTTTCCCAATCTCCCTTTAATTTAATAATCTAACGTGACTTTTCGGCACTTTTTGCTCTCCTGCTTTTTCCTGTTGAAAGACCACACCAGATAAAATGCTCCTGATGAGCACGATTATTTGTCAACGTGATGGGCCGCAAAATATGAAAGCGTAAAATATGAGAATGCTCTGTCCGGCGGAGGCTTCAATGACAGGCTTTTAGCAGTCTTGAGTTTATAAAGAAAAGTCGGGCAATTTGAAAAATAAAAATAAAGGGGCAAGAATTTTATTTCGCTTCAAAATGGTCGCTTAAAATGTTTTCCCTTCTTTGATCCCGGTTCTGTTTTAGTCGGAAAATGCATTAACTTTCATATTCCATTCTTTATGCCGAGATGTTAGTTGCTCGTTATTACTTTTTGCCGCGCATATTTAAATTGTTCTGTTCATACGCAGGACGAAAATTAAGACTCTGTTTGCAAAAAGCTTTCAGAATGCCCTCTTATCGATTGACTATTCAAATGAACTATAACGATCAGATCTAGATTGTTGATCGGAAATTGATTTTTCCACAATGTGTTTGCCTGCCAAATAAAAATTAATTATGGACACTTTGTGAATCAAAAAGTTAGTAATTGGTGATAGGCAAAGTTTCACACCCCCGTTGCAAAAAGTAGTGACTTGTTGAAAAGTATTAGAGGTGAAATCTGTCAAGAATTTTTAACTTTTCCCAATTTTTATTAGAATTGACAAGCGACAAATCTCCCGGGGGAAAGGATCAAAAATGTTTTAGCGCGGAGGACCAAATGGAAGCCGTTAAGACTTTTTATATCTTCTTGGTTTGGCTTTAACAGATAAAATGATTTAGGTCTACGTGACATCCTGATTTTTTCCGGTTCGAATATTACTGCTCGTTCCATTCAGAATTCCATAATTTTTCATTAATTTAGTATTTTCAGTACGAAGACTTGTTAAATGAATGAAAGCCAATGTTTTAGAAAAAATCATATATAAGGTTTCTCGCTATCAAGGATTTACAGATTGCAGATTTTGCCCCGTTAATGAACTCTCAAAATCAGTGGGAAGCCATCAAACCACTTCTCTTCAATTTATTAAATTATCCCCATAAAAAGTCAAACAAAACGTTCGATGATGTGGTTTATAAAAGAGGTAATTGAAGTATTCAATATTTGTTTTTACCTCTGTTGAATACAAAACGAGACAAAAGGGGCAAAGATCTATTAGATGCCCTCAACAAGAATCTCTCTGTTGAAATTAATAACCCACCCTAATTTAGTATTCTGAAAAGAATAAAATATTATTTTTCCCTTACCAACGCCCCTGGCAATTTAACGGAGTTTACTCTAATCTATAAGAAGACTCGGTAGCTTTTTCGCTTGACAGAAGCTCTTTATTTTTTCGAGGGACAATTCAGGGGAATTTGTCATCCACGGGAATTTTTCAATTACGCTTCGCGCCAACAACTTACTAATTGGTTTTCGAGAATGTCTTTTACGTATCTAAAATATTGATAAACCATTTGTCGGTGAAATTATCCAATAAAAAATTATGATCGTTTTTATAGGTATTTTTATTCAGCATGCTAATTAATTGATATTTAGTGAACATCAATCCAGATCAGTACCGAACTGAAATTCCTTTCAGGGCTAGATAAGCCAAAAGAACGAAAAATGGCAAGGAAACAAAGTCGATTACAGTGCAGACCATCGCATGCCAAACTGGCATTAAAAATGGTAAAGTGCACGTTTCGTTGTTTCAATGAACATTGCCGTTATTGATTTCATGTCAATAGTGATAGGGAAGTGAATATGAGTTTTGACAAAAAATCATACGTAATGCTCACTGCTAGAAGTATGATTAGTATTCTAACAAACATGAAACAAGCGCTTTAGCATAACCAATAAGCTTTAAACTTGAAGGAATAATGACAAAGTTAACTAACTAGTAAGGAAAAAAATTAAAAGTTTTTGTGTTATAAATGTATCCAGAAGAATCACGAAATAATTCCTGCTTTACCCAACCCAACTGAGCTAAAAGTCACCGTATTGAGGTTCCAACAGTACAGAGTTTCGACATAAGTCACGGTTTTATATTTTTCCAGCCATCACGTTGACAAATAATCGTGCTCATCAAGCGAGTTTTATGTGGCTTCCTAAAGCTTTTCACAGCCGAATGGACAGCAGAAAATGTCCGGGAAGGCATCGTTAATATTATCAAATTAAAAGAAAATGCACACAGAATGTTAGTGTATGAAAAACGTTTAGCGTTTGATTGTGGATTAAATAAATAAAGGCAAAATGCTTACTCCTTCAGGAGTTTTCTGGAATGAGCTTTTTTTCGTTGCAGAAGTCCCTTTCTCAAATTAATTACGCCTCTTGAGTTAGCAGTCAAAAGAGAACAAACGAACATTTTCCCTTTTCAGATTTTTTGCAATTTAGTGAAGTTTGGAGAACGCTGAACGCTTGCTAGCTTTTCCACCTGACAAACTTTCAGCGATTCTTAAAAAATGTCTTATAAATAATAATACTCGAGAAGAAAGCAATTTTTATTTTTAACGGGCTTTCTGATGTAATGATCTTTCGGAACTTTGCTTTAAACATTAAGTTTCCAATATTTTTCATAAAAACCTCAACCAAACCAAATCAAATATATCGCGGTTGCGAAAATAGCCCTTGGACTAATACTTAATTTACCACATACGTATTTCGAGAGGTTTTCGAAAATTACAAAAAAAGAACTTTGGGGTAAATTCAGGGCCATAATTTGCCTCGAGCCGAGTCGACCTGTGCAAATGGCAAATACAATGCCCAGCTTTGTTAAACTAAAATCACCCTAACTGCTCCGAACAGCTATTCAGAGCGAGGGGTTTTTGGATAGTCAGAGAGCATTGCTTAAAAATAATATCGGGTGAGGCGTGTAGGGAATTATATCGGGCTGAGGATTACGCATTGTTGGAACTGGGACTAAATATCATTGAATATGAATAACCTTTGCATTTATGGGATCACCGATTATATCCACGTACTGAATCAATATAAGTTACAGCGGATGAACGTATTACTAAATGCATCTTTAATAAATGCTCAAATAGTTCCCGTGCTTTTAGATACATTGGCACACGCTTACTTCCAACAGAAACAGTAGTTTCCATATGAACAAATTAAATTACATCTAACAATCTAACGGCTCAGTAGGCAAAAGCACTGTTCCCTTAGGTCACTTCCTATAATATCCCTTTAGATCATCCCTGGATACACCTTTAGGGATGCACGAAAATCTGGGCGCATCCCCAGCAGCTATGTATCTTGAGTAGTTCATTAAGTTAAACATAAAGCAGGTTATTGTACAATTTTCTTAATATCAGTCTGGTAAGCCTGAGTTTGCAAATGCACAGTGAAGCAGAATTCAGACATTCAAAAATAATTTAAATTTGCCTTTTTTTACTTCATGCAATTCTAGTTAGAAAAAAGGAGTGCGTTACGGCACGCTCGACAGAAGTGGAAGTGACAACTTTAGGTAAAATGTAATAAAAAAAAAAATTATGTAAAATTTACATTATATTTACAACATTTAATAGTTGGAGTTGAGTCGCTGGTACTTACGATATCATTATATAGGTAATCCTACAGAAGTGACAATTGGTGTATGATAACTGTTATAAGAAACGAATTGTGACACTCGATTTTATATTGTTTTGGATTATTTATATTCTTTAATTGTAACTTTGATTTAAGCAATGGCATAGATTTTTCACTCGATCAGATGAAAAATCAACATTAAAATCTCCACTTTAAACGAATGAAAATGTGTGGTTCTTTTGGCCAAGGCAAGTAGTTTTCGTCCGAACTGTGTTCGCCAGAAATCGTGCAAAAAGGAGCGAATGATCTAATTTCATTACAACGTACTGGACATTGTCCACTAGAGCTGAAGTTCTTTGTCCGAATTCGGACGAACCATTGCGATGTGCGAAATGTCCGCAGCAAATGGGATTTTTTAGCACGTTCGCTGGTTTCTGACTGAATTGAGAATATTTTCGCAACACACCGAGCTGAAATGGATGTTGAAAAACTAATAATTCTGTCTGATTCTTTTTTATCTCTTCATAGAAATTATGGAATTCTCCAAATTATTTTCGTTTTCTTAATGAATCAGCAACCCAGTAGTTTTTTTCTTTTTAATTGTAATCGTCCACGCAGAAGGTAACTATTTTCAATTCAGAATCATCCATTATTATTAACAGTTGTATAATTACCCTGATTATTATACAATTACCCTGTATAAATGTACTTATGTGATACATAACAACACATGACAAATTCGCACGATAAAAAACTTCCGGTGAACGATACCCACACATGCGAAGTCTGACGAAATCCTTCCAAAGGACGTCCGGCCAAAGGTTCTATTTTATTTACAATAGTTCTTGTAAGTTCGTAAGAAGGTTTTCGGATCTAGTGGACGAGCGTCTATAGGTTGCAATTAAATTGGATCATTAACTCCCGTTCGCACGATTTCTGATGAAAGCAGTTCGGATGAAAACGCATTGCACACTATTGTATTCACACGAACAGACCACAGTCTACACACTATTATAATAGGCGACCGGCCTAATGGAACCAGATGGACTACGCGGGCGGCTGTGTGCGTGCGAGAGAGAACTGCGTTGGTACTTGTCTTTATCAATAAATGCCGTGACGCATTCCAATCTATTCACACCGTGCCATAAGAACTTATCACTTCAAAAACCGGCAGAAGTTTCAGGAAACTCACTAAAAATTCTTAATGTTGATGATGGTAATCAGTAAATTATGCCTATTTATGACTGTGGATTTATAGGTGACTAGATGGTAGCAAAAAAGAAAACACTATTTTCCTTAGTCCAAAAAAATGGCGATCTATCATCACCTAAATGGACATCATCTACTGAAGCCTTTTTACGTTTTAGATTGTGTAGCAAATATACCATGGAAACTTACCATGATTTTGTTCCCATTGTCACCCATCGATACCTGCAACAACAAATTGAGCATATCAGCAATATTCTTATCTGAACATGATTTTCTCAAGTGTTCCAAATGGTGAAATTCGGAACCAGAAAGCCGTGTATTTGGTCAGCTACACATTTGTATCGTACGGGACCATGATGGGCAATCGATATGTGCTTTGACTTAATTAGCTGCACCTATCGATTAACTAATGAAGGATCATTGGTAGACATGAAGGGCAACTTTGCAGTTGTAAATTTCCATTATGTCGCAAAATCAGGCAGAACTATTTACGAATTTTGGCGCGAGTGCCCTGTGATCGTCAATAGGAGGTAATCATGCAGATATATTGGGAGCGGATTGCAGCAAATGCATTCGAGTAAAAAATGAGAGGAATTGAACCCTTTGGGCCAAAGCAGCTGCTGAAAATTTCAAATATACGTTTATTCTCATCATTGTGACAAGAAGAAAAGCTTCACCTCACAAGTAAATCTAAACAATCTGTGAAAAAGGGCAGATAAAATATTTTAACAGCAGGAAGTTTTAATGAGATATTGTATTTGACTTGTGTTGGTGCTTTTAAGAGCGTCGCGTTAGAGATACTGTTAAATTTGTCAACGAAACAAAGGGAGAATATAGCAACGGCAAACTTGCAAAAGGTACGGATAACTTTCTGAAGTTTCCAATTTCTTTGGCAATTTAAATATGTTTCCCTTCTCAGATAAACTGCAAACAATGGTTCTTTAAGTATGTGGTTTCCTTTACAAGGGATATTTTTAGTATCTTTAGATTAAAGACAGGAATTGTCGCTCAAAGGGCAGTCGCCGTCAAAACTAATCCGCTATTTTTCATTTTTAACAGTTTAATCCATATCAAGCAGCTCATAAATAAGAAGATCAGAATAATGGGCCGAAGTATCCAGTGATGGTTTGACACCCATCAATTTCTCGATAGTGTATAAGGTCTTTATTGTAAGCTCACTTCGTCATGAACGAACCAGCGGGATGTAGTAAATTAAGCCGCTATACATCAAAATCTGAAATAGATTAGCCGACTGTCAAAGTCTATAAAGAGCACATGTAATAATTCTCTTTTTGGATCACAGCTGAAACTAACACTGCGATAATACACCCTGCTTTGTTCTGTATTACTGCAGATATCTTACTGCGGATATCGATTCAGTTACTTTTATTCGCCCAGCCTTTTTGTATCAACACTAATTCACTGACAAATTACACCGTAAAAAATTTAATGTCCAGCTGAAAAAGAGACAAATAATTTAATGTCAATTGCCGCAAAACCGTTTAATCGATTTAACCCTTTATCAACAAACTATTTAGATTCTCAAATGCTTTTACTAACAATATATTTTGCCATATAAACTGAAATACACCAACAGATTTGAATTTGTTTTGTGGAAACCGTAGAGAAATCGGGAGTGGAAAACGATGCAAAACAAAGAAACGCTGCTGAATGTGGCCGCTTCAACGTTAAAATAACTCAAATACAATTTTCTACTAGATCTGGAAACTTTCTATAAACCATTTCAAAGCAATGCCGCGAGAGAACGCGCACTTTTTAAAGTTTAAAGAAAGAATTTAAGAGGTTTAAAGTTTCTCAACTTGTTACAGAGATAATAAATATCATCAAAGAGCAGATATCGAATTCCTGTAAAATTGATCTGTTTAGGAACTTGTGGATCCTTGGAAGTTTCACAAGCGGCAACTATTAAAGAATTATGTTTCAGTTTTAGGGGAAGTGCTTCTAGTGCGAACTGATCGTAGTATTGAAAGTAATGATGCCAAAAATATAAAACAGGTAAATTTATGTTTGTCTACATGTTGTGATGCCAAAAATAGAATAGTTGGTCCACCCTTTTAACACATGGCTGATACATTTAGTATTAAAATTTACTGCAAGTCTAAAATACACATTACTATAATATGCTTTCCACTGAATGTTATAAACTCCTTTCCGCCATGGTAAAACGCAATATAACCTCTTGTAAAGCAGGCGGGTAACTTAAAAGCATATATGTAAGAAGTAAAATTTATCACAGGGAGAAGGTGCCATGTTACCTTAAAATTGAATTTCTCTGAAATGTTTTATAAAGCCGTAAAGATAAACATACTTTACGCACATTAACGAAAAAATATGTTTTCCTTCGCTAGGAGGAAGCTTGTTTTTTATTCGTCTCATGATATTCAAATATGAAAGAGCACAGTCGGATTTTTATTTCACATAATAAATCGTTACATAATGCACACTTTGCCGAGCAACAGTCAACTCTGTGTAGCTTAAAATATTTCAGGATTAGGGTGAGTTCGATTCTGCTCCCTTGGAGCAGCAGTTTGCTGTAATATTGCTACATACACTACGCAAAGCATTAATTATGATGAATTACAATTAAAAGTCACGCAACTTTTACTTGCCATTTCTTATGTTGTAAATCGAACAGTTCCAACGCTAAAACACCCTGAAACAGTATGAAATCGGGACGCATTTGTGTTAATAAAATATATTTTCGCAACATATTATTTTATCGCGTTATTTATGATACCAGTAAATTGAACCGTTAAACCTTGTTTGTTATTGAGATAAATTTCAAATACGCAAATATGCAGCCATTTCCTGTAAATCAACTTTGTTTTAGTTGGTTAAACGGCTAATAAGGAAAAATTGTTACAGGAGATTCGAAAATAATGAGACATTTTTCAGTTTATCTGTTGGTAATGTGAATTAGTCTTCTCTAACACCCGTAAATAAATACGAATCGACAATGTTTGCACACAATTCAAGGGCGTGAAAATCGTATGATATTATAAAGCCTAAGTAGCACTTTTTTGAAGCTGAAAAGCGAAACGTTTTGGCCACTGAAAAGTTGCGAAGACAATCAGTAACCCCTACCCAAAATTCTTGTTAAATCCCAAACTAATTTAAAATACATGGCGAAGTAAACAGGAAGATATCCCATAAAAAACCATTTTGCCTAAGACTCTAACTAAACTAGCAAGGAGCTCCCGTGTTGCGGTCTAAATTATAAATTAATAGGGGATGTAACTTTTTTACCTTGCTGTAATCTCGCAAGGTAAAAACTTTTAATACAGAGAGACTGTGGAGCAGTCTTAAAAATTAATGCCCAACCAAAAGTAAAATTGAACTGTCGCCTGTTTTAGCCTTATTAAATTAGGTTCTGGTCTCATCGCCCTCTTGTTCTTTGCTATTCTTTCTTCATTCTCGCCAGTTGGTTTTGCATAATGTGGATTCCCCCTTAAGTTTCTAGATATTGATTAACATTAAAACATCTACCCTGGGGAGTAAGAAACTGATTTTTAAATTAAATTTTGGCGAAAGATATTCTGTGGCTTATACGAGTTGTTAACCTGAGCGGCTAATTTGGGTATTTGCACCTCGGATATTAAATACGGACTTAAACAAACATACCTCACTAAAAAGTTTTAAAAAATGTTATAGTAATTTACAAGAAAAGCGGATAAATTAACTGGAAGTGTTGGGTATATATCACTAAAGACACCGTTTTTAGACACACCCTGAACAAAGAAAAACGAAACAGAGTGTATACATCCCAAACTAAAGTGCGTTCTAAACGGTGAATGAAACTTTAAGATTAAAATCCGCAAAAATCTTTTAGTTTTTTTTAGGCAACTCTCTTAATGCCTTTAACTCTGCTAACAACCGATTCCTTTGAAACGTTTAGCCTTATCTAGAATATTTTGACGACATTTTCATTATTAATTCCACCAAACTCTAAAGACTCAAGTAAAATGGCGAAACAAAGGATTTGTAGTTTTCCCATTTTTATACGAAGAGAAAAGGTACACCAAAGGATAAGGCTTAAAAATGTTCGCTCGTCTAAGACCTTAATTGGGAGACCAGCTTGCTCCAGCTTTATGCTCTCTTAAATTATAAATTAATAGGAGTCGTAAATTTTTTACATTGTTTAATCCGACACGACGCAAACTTTTAATGCGACAATGGCTTATGTAGAAGGGTGAACAATTAACGTTTAACCGATTTATTGTTATGTACAATTAGCAACGCAACTAGGACCGTGGAAGGCACGAGAGAACATAATAACCAAGTGGATAAATTAGAAACACATAATATATTGAGGATAGTTTCAGCCTAAATTTCTCAAATGGCATTCCTAGTTTACAGTTCATGCTCCCTGAGGACACATTGGGCAGTTTAATGTCAGCAAATACTGATTATCAGAAAAGACACGAAACTATTTATGCTAGTAATCGGATTTCTGTAAACGACGTACATCTTCATCTAGCTTTCGCAGATAGCAATACGGTGATTACTAAATTAAACCGCAATTAAAACTTAAGGAAAACTGAATGAGAACTTTCGCGAAATGGCGTCCCTCATTTTATGTAGAAGGAAATCGGCGCTTAACGTAAAATGGATAAAAACTTCGTTTGAAATTCAAATATAGGGACAATAATTGTAAAAAATCGTTTAGGCAACATTTAATTTAAATTTAAAGCACAATTCCGTTCCTGATTTGCCAGCGCGTACATTTTAATGTTAATATCGGGAAAGTTCGGGGATAAACCTACATTATGCAAAAGCCAAGTGGAGGGAATGAAGAAAGAATAGCAAAGAACAAGAGGGCGATGAGAAGAGGCCCTAATTTAATCACACTAAAAAATGAGACGGTTTAATTTTACTCTTGGTTGATCAATCAATGCCAATTTTGTTACCTCCAAATACTGTGTAAACGTCTAAATAATTTCCAAGAGGGTGACACTTTGTCAGTATATTAAAAAGACGCATTACCAATTTTTAAATGTATTCTTAATGTGTCTGGTTCGTTATCAAGAAGCTCTATTGCCAACCCATATTAGACGGTGAATTAGGCCAATAAATTGCGAAATCCTCCGCTACCATTTCCAGCAAAAAAACGAGCTTTAAGTTCGATAAGAAGCCGCTCGTTATTGCAACAAAGAAGTTTACAAACAGGATTTAAGTTAATAGTGAAATAGCATCGTTCCTAC